AACAGTGCTTGGCTCAAGCGGACACCCAGTTCCCGCATCCACTTCTTTCCATCCCCACTGTATATTTGATGGTGATTCTCCTTTGCTTCCAAGACTCAAAACCTCAAAGGATCCCAAGATTTGGGTCTAGAGAGAATGTAAGCTGAGCCTAATAAGAATCAGACAGGCTTAGAGCTGGGACCAGCTCTTCTGCAAATCCATCAGCTGAGGACAGGTAGGGTCACTGCTCTTGGCAGAGAGCCTTACCCAGAACCACAGAAAAACACTTGTTCCCAGACCATTTACTGATGAGATTTATGTGTCTGCCTTGTGCTGTCAGAAGGTAGCCAAGCCTAAGAGGAGGTGGTCACAGAGTGGCCTGGAGAACAGTGATGTGCTGTGAAAGCGGATGGTGTCACCAGGAATGAGTCTCAGAGTCTGCCCCATCTGTCCAGAGAGACCTGTATCTCCATCAGAACTCAGATCCACATGTACAGAAGACTTTGCCCTGTTGCAGATTAACAGAGAGCCTCCTGGTCGATTTTTGAGCCAAGAAGCATGAGGTTTTGCCAGCACCCGAGCACCTCTAGAAAGAATCTCCATGAAATATGTAGCCCGCAGGGTTAAGGAATCAGACGGTATGCTCTAGCCCCGTGTTCCTGTACATTCCCTCCTGTAACCGCCTTTCCTCCCTGCCTCAGATAGGTGTCCATACAAAGAGTTCAGATGCCAAATCAGGTTGCTTATGGCTGGATTCAGCCAGCTGTTTCATTTCATTTCAGGCTGTTATCAATCCTGGATTCGTTGCTCCTGAAGCACAGAGGCTGGGTGCTCATGGTGTTGCTTGGGAAAGTGCATGCTTGCTGCCTAGTCATGGGTGTGCCTTGCCCTTGAACAGACCTGACATTTCTTCTCACTTGAGGAGTGAAAATCACCAATGTTCCACTTGGACCAGTGTCTGAACAGTTGTAATTTTTTTTTTTTAACTTATCTATATACTTTAAGGAAAATAGATGTCTCTAGAGTCTCTTATTTGAAAAGCAAAAATTGTAGCTTGAACTTGCATGTTTTGAGTCCCCAAGGAAATTTGAGGTTGAAGAATTTTAGCCTTCAGTGATCTTTGCTTTTGAGGTTTTGATTTAATTTTGGCAGCCAGGTGGTTAGCGGAAGGGAAGGGTGTTGCCCCAAGAACACGGGCCTCCTTTATTTATTCTTTTTTTAGTCACTCATTCAGAGATTATTCATTGACCTACTGCTCAGCACAGGACGCTGGGGTTTTAAGTTATGCACTCAAATCAGAGAGCCCAGACTACAGCACGGTCCCTGGGCTCACCCACGGCGCACTGTTTTTCATAGTTGAAAGGGAAGTGGACTGTGCATTCGCCTCAGTGACTGTGACAAGAATAACAGGGTGGGTCTCTGGCTCTTCAGATAGGCTGAGAACTCATGAGATCAAGTGTGTAAATGCAGGGGTTTCACACACATAGTTCTTCCTCCCTTGGAGCTGCCCCAGGTCATCTCTCCATGACTGATGCGCCCGGAAGGGTGGTGCTGGGCTGGTGGAATGGGTACCTGTTTGTTCCCCTCCACCATGCCCTCCTTCCCCGAAGTTGGGTAACTGTGAAGAAGACAAGCTTCTCACAGGGAGCAGGGTCAGAAGTATCAACAACAAATGAAGAAATACTCTTCTGGGGGAGTTGGCTAGGCGCCAGGTACTGTAGCCTGTTCTAAGAATGTGGTTGTGACCGACTAAATCCTGCCTCTGTGTGCTTGCATCTCATAAGAAAGTCAACCCGAAAACAGAAAATTAAAGTATCTCTCTGGAGTGGGTCTCTCCTGCTGGTCTGTGTCTCTACAGCTTCTCTGAATCATTCACAGCGGAGATCGCAGTCTAAGAAATACTTTGTTTTCTTTTTATTCCCGGTTAGTGGGAAGGGAGCATGCCTGGCTGGTTCACTGCTGGATCCTAGCACCCAGAGCAGGGCCTCGCACATCGGAAGTGCTCAGTGAACACAGCGAATGAGCACACGACCTAGTGACCCTGGGAGGTGTTTGCGTTGGGCCTAAAGTTTAAATTGCAGACTCCTCCTGTGTTGCTGACCGTGGTCAGTTAGCACCCTATGCAATGGAAATTGAAAGGAACACCTACTTTGATAATCCATGCAGATTTTACTTTGTAAAATGGGTGGGTTTCTTAAGGAGATCTTCTATCCCAGGTTAACTTGCTATGGCTTACTTTAAAGGCCACTAGAGGACTTTTGTCTTCTGCATTTGGCTCTTGGGATGCATTGAAACATCTAGGGTTAGTTATGCTCAGGAGGCTGTGTTCCAACCCTGGGTGATATATTGAGTTGGTCTGAAGAGGGCTGCATGCCCATGAGAGAAAGAGCCTCTGTTAATGTCCTCTCTCCTTCACTAGGGTGGGATTTTGGGGGTAACAGGCCACTGTAAATGTGTCATGTTGAAAAAATCATTGAGCCCTCACAGTGGAACTATAGCATCATAAAATTCCTTAATCTAACAACACCAGATAGAGGCATACATCTCTGTCACTTACGGTTTGGGTAATACTGGGAGCCACCATTTATTGTGCCCTTACCACGTGCCAGCCATTGTTCCAGGTGCTGCATACATATCTTCTGTGATCCTCAGAACAGCCTGACCTGGTGGTTAATGGCCACTTTACAGATAGCACCCCAGAGCCTCCACCCTCTCATGGGATTTCCCAAGAGCACAGGTCTAATTCTGCATCCTCTCAAGGCAAGAGAAGCCTGGCTCAAGAAATGGCTAGGTTGTCCTGGGTGGCGGGGCGCCAGCGCAGACATCCCTCCTCTTTTACCCCAGCACACGCTACTGCTTGAGTGTGGCCTTCCCTCACTTTCTGTGCTGTGAAATCCTTCTCAATACAGCACTCGAGGCAGCTGCCAGGCATTCTGAATGGCAAATGAGTCATAACCTATTTGCCAAGTGTGCTTAAAATGGTGTGTGTGTGTGTGTGTGTGTGTGTGTGTGTGTGTGAGTGTGAGTGAAGGGTTTTGCCCTAGGAATTCGAATCTTGGATTCAGGGTGTTATACCATAGCCATGTAACTTGGGAGCCATTTCTTTATCTCTCCTAACTTCAATTTATTTACCTGTAGAATGGGAGCTATGCCTTGCCGCCCTTGCCTCCAAAGTCAGCGTATAAATACAGGCCAATGATGAATTGGCTTCAATGACACCACAGTGCCGCTTTTAATTGTAACTGAATCATGAATCAGTGTGGGTCATGTCCCTGTGCAAACATGAAGCAGAACCCCCCCCCAAATGACAAGCGGCTCTCAGCGTCCTCTTGGGGCTCCCCCAAAGCCCTTGAGTGGAGTATTTGACTCCCTGACAATCACCAGTCACATGGTGAACTTGTTAGTGAAGATTCTTGGATAGTATCTCAGAATGGCTGATTGAGGATCCTGGCTCCTAGCATTGGATCTCTGAATTCTTCCACTGCTCAAGTGGAATGATATATGGGACCTACCACTCCATACTCTGTAGGGAACCATGTTAACCTTTAGGATTTGAAGCATCTAGGTAGGTGGTTACGGAAGAGATGCCCCAGTTTCCTCCCCATCTGTGTCTGGCAAACTCTTAAATTCATCCGTCAGACCTGTTCAGATGCCTCCTCCTCTGAGAAAACACCTCCAGCTCCCACCAAGGCCAAGCTAATTACCCCCTCACTGTGCTCCAGGGCCCTCCAGCCCACAGGCTGGGCACTCACCGTGCACCAGGCCCTCTGCTGTGTGCTAACACACGTCACTGTATTTACTTCGCCCTCTTGGAGAATAAAAGCTTATGTTACCACCTCCACCTTAGAGTTGAGAAAGGGTGACTCAGGCAAGTGAAGTGACTTTCCCTAGGATAATTGGATCTTACTGCATTATAATCACACCAGAGTCTGAGTCTCTTATAGGAATATGATAATTATGTGAGTTAATATGAGTTCCTTAATTAGGGAAGTTGCCAGTCTTGACATTCCTGGGAGCAAACACAGGACCTGGTGCATAATAGGTGCTCAACAAATCTTTGTTGAGCTAAAGAAATGATAGAAGAGTTATAGTGAGACAGTCTAGGACAGATAAGGACTGGGTGCTTTCCAGCATCTGCCCGTGTTCACACTCATCACCTAATAGAGGAGAAAGGGCAGGATGTGATGGACTTCTTTGAGGGCTAAAGAGTCCAACTGTTTCTCATACCACTCCACTGTAACCTTATACCAGGGATTCTGGTCCGCCAGCAGCTTTCTACCAAGTAGGGGATTTAGCAAGTCACAAATTAGAGACTCGAGAAATACTTACCTGATTGGTTAAGCTAGAGATGCAGAAGAGAAGTAAATGTGTCTCTGAAGAGCTTGATTGTGTTTGTGAATGGAGTTTCTCTTCTTTTTATACAGAGGCTAATACATTTTTCCAACCCCATAGACTTCCATGGTCATAAATTCATTTCAAATATAGTTTTCTTCGGTTGCAATAGTGACTCTTCTGAGTCTTGGTGTTTATGGCTCTAAAATGGGAAGGTTGGAGAAGATGTCTAAGGTTCCTTCCAACATCCTGGTTCTGTGATGACGTCAGCACCCTGGGTGAAGTTTAGAACAAATTTAACTTACACATGTACAAAGCAGCTCTAAAAATGGAATATCTTTAAGTGAATTAGATTATTTCCAGTCTAATCTTCTTCCATGTTAATAAAAATCTGAACTCTGTGTCTAAATTTCTAAGTCTTGCTATACAGAGACATTTAGAAAAAAAGAAACTATAAAGAGAAACAAACTGTAGTGGCTTGAATAAGAACAGTAATGCAAATCAGTTATCCCAGAGCTTAATCGTTTCCTGTAATTTCTTAGGCTTTCTTAGAATTCGGTCTAAGGTTTTGCGTAACATGGTAGAAATGATAAGAATTACGTGTGCTATTTGATTGCATTTTTTCTCTCCTTAATCGAAGTCATAATCCTTGTTTACATTTGAACTTTGTTTTATTATTTGTTTCACAGCGGAAACGGAAGCAGAGCCCCCAGGATGAAGATGCGGTTAGCCTTTGTAGTCTTGATATAAGTGTAAGTACAGTCCTTCCTATGTCTCTTGGCATGGGACCACCTCTCATCTCTGAACGTATTTGTTAACATGCTATGGGCTTTAGGTGGGCTTCCAGGATCCAGTTACAGAGGTTGGGATCTGGGGGGAAATGTTAAACAAATTTTTTTTTCATCTTACTGGAAGAAGCTGTGTGGTCAGCTTAAACTTCCAAGCCACTTGTTTATTGCTTGTGTCTTTTCTCTCATAAAATGAATGATGAAATCAGTGCATCTGGATAGAATCTAGATAAAGGCCGCTGTGCCGTGTTAGAGACTGGCTACTAAAGGTAGACCAGATGTTTGTCCCCCTTTGGAGGAAGTGGCAGATTGGCCCTACTCAAGCAGCTGCGTGGCTCAAAGGCCAGAAGTGCCCGGCAGCATGGCTGAGGGAGTGGCTTTGGTTTCAACAGCTTCGTTTGAATGAAGATTTTATACTTAGACTTGTATGACACCTATCTTCTCCTCTGTTTCCTCATGTGGAAAAGACTTAACAGAATTGTTGTGAGGATTACACAAAACAATAAAAGTGAGAGTACCAACCACGTAGCCTGGTACATAGTAGACACTCACCAAATGTTAACCTCACTGTGTTTTCCTTTAAAAGTGGAAGTTTGCAAAAGATGTTTGAGTGATCGGGTAACTGTGCTAGTGATGATAGAGGTCAAAAGCTTTCTTGGATTTTTTTCAGGCCCACATCTTTGGATGCTGAATTTTAGTAATTTTCTTTGTGTGACCTCCTTGTCTCCCCAGTGACACAGTTGGGAAGACTCCCTAGGCATCTGATGCTCTCATTGTCTAGGGACTGGGGGTCAGGATTCTGGTACCCACTGTGCTCCCCATGTCTGTTCATTTGTTCATACTCCCTGGAACTTTAATCATCATGCATGCATGGTGGATCCATCTAGCGTTAGGGCCTGGTCCTCCTCCTCCACAGACACCGCAGAAGCCACTGTTGTGAGATGAGGCTTTTATGCTAAGAATTAAGAACTGGGTCATGGTGCTGGCTCTGTCTGTAACTAATGATGTCATCTTGGGCAAGTCAGTTCCTCTCTATGGGCCTCATCTGTTAAAAAACAATTTTGAGATCCAGTCTTTAAACCATTGTAAAAATTTGAAGCTCCGTTGAACACAGATTACTGGGCTCTCACCTGATAACATCTGTTTACCCATATAAGCAACGCTCTCTTTGTTATTTTTAATTGTGGCAGAGTTTTCTATGATGCGCATAGCTGTGATGGAGCCTGTGCTAGCTAGCGTTAATGTATTTGCACATCTTTATTTGCCACATGGTGTTTGTTCCAGTCTTTAGACCATCAGATTGGTGGGTAGGACCAGTTTATTCTGTTGCTATGGTAATAGGACAAAAAAGACGATGTTCTTCTTGCTTTTACTTTACTCTTTGAATCTTTTATTGTTGACAAGTGAAGTCTTTGGAACTTTCTTTATTGACAAGTTTTTTGGTGTTTGCAAATGTTTTTAACTTTGTGGCTATTATTAGGATTGTTGATGTTCATAATATATAGAGCCCTTAGCCATAATATAGTCCGGTCCCCTTACTTTGAAAATGAAGAAGTAGAGGCCAAGGGAACTGTAGTGATTCAATAAGACTTTAACCTAGATCATTTCTAAGATCATGCCTCATCCTACATTTTTCCTGAACTATGTTTATTTTTCAGAAAAACATGTCTCTAGAAGCTTTATTCAAAGAACTACTAAATGCTTTTATATGAAAGGATTATTTGCAATCATGAGTTGTGATTTGGTTTTTGTGTCGATCAGCATCCATGACCTTACCTTCTGATCAGAGTCATCTAAGCTCATATAATGAGTTATTTGATGTCTTTTCTCCTTTTCAGCCACAAAAGATACACCTCCCTCCCTTGCTATATCTCTTAATCATATCATATCATGTTTTGTCACAGTAAAGAGACTTTCATGGAAGAGTTTACCTTTATGCTTAGGGATTCGCCTGTGGCCAAACTCCTTTCTGATTTGTCTCTTATTTTTTCCTGATTCTTGGCAAACAGATTCCAGAACCTGGGCAGTTTCCTCCAAATATTGTCATGTAATATTATAATCATTATAAAACTTAAGAGAATCCTAGAAGCTGTTAGAGGACATGAAAACTGGTGTTTTGCAAGTTTACTGACAGTCCAAGCTATACAGAGATGACAGGCTGTGTGACAGATACACATGTGGCCACAGAAGATTTTCAGTGCCTTGCACTAATAGGTACTTGGTAGAGACAAGTTGAATGAAGTAGTGGATGCAGCCACTCATGAGAAGATTGTAGCCATAAAGACTGCAATGTCTGAGTAAATATCTGAGACCCATGAATTAATAGATAAATGGCTTTATAGTCTCCTCAAAAGTGCTTTTTAAGTGGTGGTATCCAGTAGAGTCACAGCAGCATTAATGAAGAGTTTTTTGGAGCCTGTTTCTATGTGTAGTGGAAAGTATCTGATAAAAAAGGTGGGTTCCAGTGGATGACTCATACAGGAAGATGTGAGGGCTTGGGAAAGTAACATTAGTAACTCTTAATTTTGATTCCACCTCATAAGTGGAAAGATGTTCACCAAATGTATGCTTGAACATGAAGCTGCTGAATGGGGGACAGGGATCTTTGGGGGATCGTGGTCAAGTTTCCATTGAGTCCTAGCCCAGTGCTGCACAATGAGGTCTTCATAAATACTTATTGGTTAGTGAATTGTAACAACAACAAAAAGAGTGGATCTTCCCAGTGTGTATGTGGAATTCAACACACGTACCCCCTTTCTAGAAATATATCTGTGGTGTAAAGTTGGGAAGTATTAACACAAAAACTTTCCCCCTTTGATTAAAAGCATATATTGGTGTCTGAGTGTGGACAACACCAAACATTCCTGTTGACATCTTGCTTTATTTTAAAGACTCAGATGACAATTCTGGTAGTGCCTGATAGAGGGTTTTCCTTCTGAACTCTCCTGCAACCTCCTATTGAACTTGAACTTAGAGACCAAACAGGAGTGGGTAAGCTAAGAAAAGAGTGTATCCTTACAGAACAGGGATCCTCAGTTGTTTGGGGGGCGGGGTGTGTCATGGACTGTCTTGAGAATCTGATGATAGCACTGGGCTCCAGACAATTTTACAAGATTGACATATGATATTGTGGGCCTCACAGAGACCAGCCAAGACCCCACGTGAAGAGTTCCTCTAAGGAAACTGGAAGGGTCTTAAGGCATGGTGACATATCTCCGCAGAATTATTCTCCCACCCTCCACCTCCAGCTCTTGGTGAAAAATGAATTGTGACTGGAGAGTCTACACTAGTTGACAATATAATTGGTCTCTATTTTTTTCCCACCACTTTACCCAGTCCACTGGCTGAGCCCCCGGCTTCCTGGCAGGATAGAACGCAAACTATTCCAGAGGGGTGGGGGAAGCAGACTATATTTTTTAACACTTTTGAGAACAATTTGCAGAGTGGAGAATGCTCCCAGAAGCCGCCTACAAATCTTCTCTCACGTCAAAGGATATGAGTGGGATGGTTTCAGGGACATCGCTTCCCCCACAGCACTTTTCTTGTTTGAATTCTAGTGGGCGAGAGACTCTCGAGTGAAGAGCTGGGTTTCATGGTCCCTCAATCAAGGCCCTTGGCAGAAGAGCCAGGTGTGACCCTGATGCAGGGCACTGCTTAGCATCAAACATCCTTTATCAAAAAATATATGAATGTTGGGATAGGCACAGGAACGGATTCCAATGAAGAAACAGTGTACATGATAAAAAGGAGTGTATGTTCTTTGTTGCAGATTTGGAAAATGTGAACACTAGAATTCACTATACTCTTACTTCAAAGTAGTGTCTACATTTCGATGTATTACCTTTCTAGCATTATATACACATTCACTTAAAACTGTTTAATTATGAAATATTTCAGGCATACAAAGTGGTATAAAGGATAATGTAAAATTCCAGGTAGCTACCAATCCAACTAAAGACATGTGCCCTTAAAAAAAATCCCTTGCTCTGCTGTGTTTATGTTTATTGTTGCCTTCCCTGTCTATAAACTTGCTATGTACATGTAGTCCTAAATAGCACATATGTTATCAACTGACTTTTAAAGTTTATGTAAGCACACAGTTTTAATGGTGATCATAACACCTATTAATTTATTCCTGTATTTTCCATTTACTGTACTGAAATCATGTCCCCACAACCTGAAACATTCTTCAATAACATTATTTTAAATAACCATACTTTGTCAAATGGATGCACCAAGTTTATTTAGCCAGTCCTTCCTTGGATATTTAGATAAGTTGCAGTTTTTTACTATTACAAATACCACTTATGGGCATCCAAGAATATCTTTGTGTGATTCTTTTATCAGTAGGGTAAAATATAAAATTCCTGGCTAAAAGGGAATGAATATGTTTTAAACCTGTTCACAGGGTTATACCCCTTCTGGCAGTGAGAGGTAGAAATTTAGTTCAGAGCATTTGAACATCTTGTGTGGAAACTCGGAATGGGGGATTGTTCTCAGTTTTCTTTGCCACATTCTCTTTCAGCTATATCTCTGGTCCCTTGCTAAGCGTGGCTTTATGTGGGACTTTTGATAACACGCCCTGTTTGGGAGGAGCCCCTCCTGTTGCCCTTTCAGAGCCCAGGATCTCTCTTACCTGGCAGAGAGGGACAGGTAGTGGTGGAGTTGGTGGTGGGGCATCGTTTCCATGTGGTGGGGGCAGGTGGCTGAGCTATAATTGGGGTTGGGAGGAGACCCATTTAACCCTCACAGCAGTCCTGTGACCATGGGTGTTATCATACCCTTTTTGTAGATGAGAAAACTGAGGCTCGGAGAAATAAGAAATTTTCTCAAAACCCCACGTTCTTGTAGAGTCAAGGCCGGGAGAGCTGGCCCCCACAGCTTCTCCATGCTGCCTCCAGCACAGGAAGGAGAAAGCGTTTGGCTCCAGGGCTTCTGCTGATGGATGATGGACAGGACGTTGA